TTGTTTCAGATCACCCAGACGTGAGATTTCATGTACACCGTTTGGGCACCTAAAAAAAACGGACCTGCACTTGAAGGAGTGCCACGACGGCAATTTTGAATATTTCGACTTGAAAATTTTTTTACAAATACTTGAATATATAATAAAGATGACGGTTTAATTTAATTTAATGTACGAGTCACATTTTGTTAGAAAAAAAATTCGGAAAATCGGCCTGTTTTTTCCCTTGTCACAGTAGACTTCCCCCTTAACAAAATCGGTAAAGTCAGACTTTTTTGGATTCTAAAGTGGTTTTACCTTTTAAACCCGGACTATAACCGGAGGGTGACGACAATTGATAGTCTTTGCACCGAAAGGACGCCAAACGATGTAATGTTTTTCGAATATTCTAGGTCGACTATATACGATGTTGCCCAGAGGTACGCTGCCTTAGAGGACTCCGAGAAGGCCTTCTTCATCCCGACAAAGAAGATCCAAGTAAGGGAGAAGGCGAGAATAACTCCGAAACTCATTCAAAGAACCCAAGACCTTATTTTGGAAAACCCAAAGACCTATTTGGAGATCCTAAGGACGGTGGTAAAGCTTTGGATGGAAAACGTTATTTCGGGAAGTCTGTATATCGCCTAACAAGACGGTACATCCGCTCACACGTGTCATTTGGTTCTGAATGGGCTCTCCAACATTGTCGACATATTCTGGTCCAAAGACTTCTGTCCTCCCAGTAGTCCTGACTTGAACCCTCTTGACTACTACGCTCGGGACGTAGTCGGAAGGTTACCAATAAGTTCAGATATCCCAACGTGGTCTTCTTCCGGGCTACCATCGAGGTAACGTTCGCGGTCAAGGCAGAGTTGGCGGGGTGCTTCTGTTTTAGAAACCAGTATCAAGACGGTAACCGAGGTGCAGGACGGCTACATCGAGTGAGAGGACTCAGAAAGAATCCCTTAAATTGAATATTAAGTTGAATATTTCTTTGCATGTTTAATATTAGCTCTAATAAACGACTTTTCCAATAAAACATTTTCATGTCCAGATTCCAACGGTGCACTTTGTACTTCTGAAAATCTCTTAGTAACGATGAGTATCAACTGATAGTGAAAGGTGTGCTTCTTTTCGGTACACAACCTTGTGTTATACGTAGGTTGCTCTGAAAGTTTTGCGGTTCGGTTATTTCCTATATGATGATGTTGTCGACAATATTTTTTTTGAATCCTTTGACATTTTTTATGCTAAATAGCTATGACAGATTATTAAAATATTTTTTTTTATATTTACAGTAATTTTACAGAAAAACATTTTGACACAAAATGGAATTAACACGAGAACATTATCGAGCCATATTTTTCTACGATTTTAAAGAGGGGCTGACTCGACAACAATGCTCGTAAAAAATCAAGCAATTGTTTGGTGATGAAGTACTATCCTTGGCAACTGTTGAACGGTGGTTTAACGAATTTTAGCGTGGACGTGTTTTGCTCAAAGACGAGCATCGTAAAGGACGGCCTGTCACTACAGTTACTGTAGAAAATGTCGACGCCGTGCGCACCATGATAGAGGCAGATACCACTGCATTTACAGGAATATTTAGGCATCCTTAGGTATAGGTATGACCCAAATCAAAACCATCTTACATCATCTTGCCGTAAGGAAGCTTTGTGCTCAATGGATACCACACAACTTAACAAAAGTTCAAAAGAAAGCGCGTGTGGACTGGTGCAAGGAAATGATCAAGAAATTCAATCAAGGCCAGGCAAAATCAGTGTTTGACATTGTAACAGGTGACGAAACTTAGATTTATTGTTACGAGCCATAAAGTAAGCGACAATCGACTCAGTGAATCTTTCAAGACAAAGAGAAACCTACAGAAATGAAACGCGGATGAAGCTCTGGCAAGAAAATTGTGGCTTATTTCTTTAAACATACTGGTCATGTTGCTATTATTTCATTAGAGGACTGCTCTACAGTCAATGCCGAATGGTACACCGGCATTTGCTTGCAAACTGTTTTCGAACAAGTACGTGAGAAACGACCAAGAAAACGAATCCAGTTGCATCAAGACAATGTATCATCACACAATGCAGCTCAAACAACAGAATTTTTGGTCGCATCAGGAGTGGAAGTGATGACTTATTTGCCTTATAGTTCTGACCTAGCACCTTGTGACTTCTTCCTCTTCCCATTAATTAAAAGCAAAATGCATGGAAATTCATCAATTCGAAAGCGGCGGTAGAAGCCTACGAAAACCTTGTTTCTGAGATGGACACAAAATAGTGAGCCCAGTGTTTTCAAGACTAGTTCTGCCAGATACAGAAGTGCATATATCATAAAGGCGAATATTTTGAAAAACAATAGAAAAAATTTGGTTAAAATAATTGAAATATTCTTTGTCATCTGTAAAACTTTCAGAGCAACCTATGTATGCCGTTCGCCACTTTTTATGTTATTCCGCCTTTAAATATCAATTGATGCTCATCGTTGCTAGGAGATCTTCAGTAATAAGCCATTTTTCTTTATACAGAGTCTAGCCTACCCATTCTCGTGCGCTCATTATCTCAGACAAAATAATTCCTCACTAACTATTAAGAATTTTGCATAATGGTATATTATTTATCTATTCAGTCTCATCCGTTTTACCTGTACACCACTGGAACTGAGGACGAACGGACTTTTTATATATCACGTAACTTAATTCATATAACGCCAACACTTTAAACCATTAATTACTTAACACTTTGACTGCCACGTTGGTCATATATGACCGGCCACGGTTTCTCCTGTGATTTTTTACAATTGTAAAAATTGAATGAAAATTGACAGTTAGCGCATTTGGAATATAACGGATAAATAGAAGATACTTTGAAATAAAAAGTGTCCCAATGAACAATTAAAAATTTTTATTAGAACATCAATAAAAAAAATATTAGAACAAATCTTGCATCTAACGGTGCACTGTGTTAAAACACTTTAAACATAAATGTGACTCATCAATGCAATCTGGACAGTAGGTGATCACCTTTTTGGTCCGATTTTTAGCAATTTTTGATCCTAACAGTTTAACATTTTTTTGTAACACTCTCTGCAAAATTTTCGTGCCAGGTACTCTTGCCCTTCTTTCTTCTGCATTTTGTGCCGCAATCAATCTTCGTCGAATAAATGTATTTGACTGCTCTGGTGAATGGCACTGTGTAAGATGCATTGCGAGTGCCATTCTAAATTCTGATATCTTGATTTTTGTTTTTGTTGCTAGTTTATAGAGTATCATCGCGTTTGAAATTGATGTATTCAATAATAACTCTAAAGCTAATTTTATATACCACTTGAGGGTTCTTCTGTGTGGTGTGGTATATGCTATAATTTGATTTGATAAATCTACAGCACATTTTCCTATGTTGTAATCTACAACTACTATTGGTTTATCACAAACATTACTTTTTTGCGGACCTCTACCATTTCAGCCGAATGTTTCCTCGAGATCATAAAAATGTCACGCTTGTCTCTCCACTTGAGGACCATCCTTCCTTATTCTAATCCTCTTATTTTGCATTGCGATAAGTTCACTGCGTTTTAATTTCTTAAATTTGACGTCGACAAGTATTCCCTTTCTATCTTTTATTAGGTTTCCTACTAAATGAGTATTGCAATTGATTAATTTTTCGGCTAAATTTATACTAGTATACCAATTATCGGTATAACTTGTGTGGCCTCTATGAAGAATATTGTTGCATATATTTTTTACAACACTTGTGGGGGTTACGCATAGTGCATTTAAATTTTTTCCCGAATATATTTCAAATTGGTATGTACATCCTTAGCCCGAACACATTTTGAAGACTTTGATGTTATATTTATGTCGTTTCTGTTACAAAAATTGCCTGAACTTTATGCGTCCTCGGAAAGGTACCAATGACTCATCGATGCATATCTCTTCATCTAAATCATAGTATTTAGAAAAATTTTGATTTAGTATATCAACAAGTTGTCTTACCTTATACAGTCTATCATTTGTGTTAGCTGTTTGATTACACAGCTCCACAAAAAAAAATTTTTCATTGCCAGGGATCCGACTATGTATACTATATGTTTTTTGGGTCGCTGAAACCGAATCCATAATCGAAATTTCTCTGTCAGATCCAGTTCTTTTCCTAACCTCAAAAAACAAGCCAAAGATCATGAAATTCAAACTAAAAATCTAATAATTCAATAAAAACTCAAACAAAATCCCGCAATCATATATTTCATCAAATCCATAACTATGTAATCTCAAAACTCCATAACCTCAAGCCTCATAACTTTAAAAACCTCATAACTGAGGCGAGGGGACCTCACGCAAATAAAGCACCCCGTAACGTGAGAGGCGAGGGGACCTCACGCAAATAAAGCACCCCGAAGGGAATAGAAGCCTGCTACGTCCACGTCGTTGTTCTTAGGTTCGGCAAAATGTAGGTTTTGTGGCGAAAGAACGTGGTTTATTATTTGGTTAAGAGGTTTCAATGTATAAGAAGTTAAAGGGCTCACCTGTTTCGAACATATTAATTTACAGTGCTTAAATGCGTAAATGTCATTTTTTATTGGGTTACGGGGTTTCAGAATCATAAAGTTATGGGGTTTTTGAGGTTATGAGGTTTTAGGATTACGTGGTTTTGAAGTTGAATGGTAGTGAGATTGAAGGACAAATCTGTTTCAAACGTATAGATTTACCCTGCTTTAATGAGTGTAAGTCTTTTTTTTACTTGGTTTAGGGGTTTAGAATCATAAGGTTATGGGATTTTTGAGGTTATGAGGCTTGAGATTATAGAGTTTTGAGATTATATAATTATGAAATTGATGAAATATATGATTATGGGATTTTGTTTGGGTTTTTATCGAATTATATGATTTTGAGCCTGAATTTCATGGTCTTTGGCCTGTTTTTTGAGGTTAGGAAAAGAACCGGATCTGACAGAGAAATTTCGACTATGGATTCGGTTTCAGTGACCCAAAAAACATATAGTATACATAGTCAGATCGCTGGCAATGAAAATATTTTTTTGTAGAGCTGTGTTTTTGGTAAAATGAAGGAATCGTAACAGCAACTCAAATCGATTTCTCGACATAACTGTTCTTGGAAAAGATTGGCACTAGGTGTTATTGGTACACCAATATGCGTCATATTTCAGTAACTTGACCAGGCCCATTCATATCAGTAATCCGAAAAATCGTTTCATTTCATTTTTGTCGGTTGGTGTTCATTTATCTAAACAAGTGGATCTCCTATTTTGCATGTATTGTTCAGCATATCTATTGGTCTTATCAACAATTATTTGTAGAATTTCTTCCGTAAGAAAAGCAAAGTAAAAAATCTGTGGCTGATTACCCTAGATCTGTACAGCAGTTCTGGATTTCATAAATGGGATTACACTTGCCGCTGTTTGTGTTATATTAATTTTTTATAATAATTTGACCATTCGTTATCGTCTATATTATGTTCTTTTTCATTTTCGATATCCATTTCATCTTCGGTATCCGATTCGATTCGGCGCCGCCTTATCGTGGGCGATATGTGGAGTATTTCGTCTTCTAATACTTCATTTTGGGACGAGTCTTCCGATAAAGACTTCTCGGATACACTCGAAAAATATTCAGTGTTTGTATCCATATCTTTGAGAGGTAATCTACGAATATTATTATAAACACACCACAGAAAATAATCGTAAATGCTGCTTTATAATCATATAATTGAAGTTAGAAGTGTGCACAACTTATTATTATATATAGAATGAGCAAATACTGTTTACTAATATCTTCTACACGTTTTATCAATACATTGTGGAAGTTTCGCATACGACGAAATAATGAATACGAATAGTTTGTTGAAATAAACGAAGCTTTGTTTTAATTTGTCGCTATCAACCGTTACCAAGGCGTCACGGTGGTCATCCGTGACTACCAATAAGATAAACGCTCCATTGGGTAAGAATATTGTCTTATATCATCAATTTATTATTATTTTGCCATTATATGCTTTAAATAATAAAAATACTCCTGTGGCGTCCTGATCGAAACATGTGATTTCGGCGTGGCAGTCAAAGTGTTAATATTTTTTTTTATAATTATTTTAATCTCATCCCAAAATGTTGTCCTCACGGTCTCACTAAACATCAACTAGCAGTAACATTACCACAATGTTATAAGTAATACGAGGGCGGTTCAATAAGTACCTGTGTTGGAAATGAAGACACCATTTTTTCAAAAAATTTTTTTTTATTTTTCAACATAGTCCCCTTTTAGAAAGATACACTTCTCCCAACGTTCCTGCCATTTTTTTAACCCCTCCAAAAAATAGGATTTGTCGAACTCTCCAAAATACGCCTCTGTCTCGGCGATGACTTCCTCGTTTGAGCTAAATTTTTTTCCCGCGAGCCATTTCATCATGTTAGGGAACAAGAAAAAGTCGCAAGGAGCCAGATCGGGTGAATACGGGAAGTGCGGCAGCATCCAAACACTGCTTCGAAGTTAACAGCCGCATCCGCTTGTTGTCCACCGTGAGCAATCGCGGCACCCATCGGGCCGACAATTTTTTCATCGCCAACTTATCATGTAAAATATTAATTGCCGTTCCAGTCGACACACCTACGGCCTTTACTACTTCGCGCACTTTCATTCGTCGATCAGCGAGAATCATGTCGTGGACTTTTTGAATGATTTCCTCTGTAATCACGTCTGCCGGGCGTCCTGGTCGCTCCTCATCAAAAACGGATGTTCGCCCA